CAGATGGGGGAGGAGACAAGCAGTTTTCTCCAAGCTGGGATGCATTAGACTAAGCATTTCATTTTAATCCACCCCTCGTGATGGGCACTGTAGTCGGGAGAGGAAACCGGAAGCCCGGGGAGGTGAGATGGGCCAGCAGATAGAAATTCTGGGCTCTGGCCAGCTCTGTCCGGCTCCAGAGCCTGCCTTCTGTTCACCTCTCCCTGCTGCCTCAGGAAATCCTGGAACATTTCTCGTTCAGAGCTTCCATCTCTCCGGTTCTGGGTTTTAGACGGCCCCGTTTTAAGCCAAGCTGTCCGTTTTAATCAGAGCTGGCTTCACAGCTGTGCAACTGGTGCAGCACAACCTGCTGTCACCGTCCTAGAATTCGTGATTTTTGAGCAAGGGCCCCGCTGCCGCCAGCCAAGAGGTAGTGCATCCTCTCCCTGGGCTCCGGGGGCCTGGCCTGTCTGGCGGAGGCATTTGAAGAATGCACTTTGCCCTGGCCTCAGTCCTGCTACCTGGCAGACTGGACTGGAATTGTTTACCGGCTGATGTCTCCTCCCAGCCAGCAGGCAGGCCTCTTGCTGGCAAAGACCTCAACCTTGGCTCACCATCACCTCCCATTCCCCTCAGCCAAAAGTGTTGCAGGAGCACCCTGTCTGGAGAAGGCTGGAACTTAGGCAGGGCCCCGGGTGGGGTCAGGAATGTGCTGCTGACCTGCCTGCCACCTGGGCCTCTGCGCCTGGACCCCTCTCTGCTTGCTCAGGGCACGAAGCAGCTGTTGTTTGGTGCGGGCTGCACCCATTCAGCATTGATCCCTCCAGCTGAATTGAGCGTTTCTCGGCCATTCGCCTCCCTGGGTATTCCTGTACCTAGCATTGTGCCTGGCGCTGGAAACAGGACATTTGTTAAGCAGTTGCGCCTGTGTCCGAGCCCTGCTAGGCTGATTACAGGGAAGGACAGTCTCTGACCTCTAGGAGGATCAGATGCTTAATACACGATTAAATGATTCATGCAGCAGCTGCCCTCCAGGCCAGGGATGCTGAGATGAGAGCTGGGTACGTGGCAGGCTCCCTGGGGAGGGGGACTGGGACTGGATTTGCAACACCAAAGTGGGAGGGAAGGGTGCTTGTAGGTCATACTTAGGAGTCTGAATGTTCTCTGAGGGCTTGCAGGGCCAGGCATTTTCTGGGCTAGAGTTTGGGCTTTATAGGTTAAACAGTTGTCTCTGTGCCCTTTGGGGACCAAGAAAGGTCATTCAGCCAGCGGGCTCCTTAGCCTCCAGGTCAAGCCCTGTCACCAGTAGTCCAGGATGCTCCTTAACCACATCTGTCCCCGAGGTCACAGAGACCTCATTTGGAGGCACAAGCGGGCTCGCAGGAACTTGAGGTGACAGTGACCATGGTTGCAATGTTCGAAATGGAGAGGAAAGGTCAAATTTGAGAAATCTGTAAAGATAACTCTTCAGAGTTTCTAAACAAGTTGTTCCTTGGAGTAGTGGTGGTGTATTTATGTTTATACTGGAAGTTGGGGGCGAAAGCCTCTGTCACAGGGACATGTTTTTCGAGCCGTGTTTTGGCCATGGCCAAGGCAGTCTTGGGGACAGAATGTGAATGCAGCCTCCTCCTGGGTGGGGGTCCCTTGGTAGGGGCTCCAAGGCTCTTGATCCAAGTGGAGTAATCCCAACAGGCAGTGACCACACATGGGTATTTTTAAGTGGCCACCAGAACTGGGAGAGAGTCTAAGCCCAAAGTACAAATTTGCAGTTTAATTTTAACTTTGCACTTTGCTCACACCCAAGACTTGGCAGGAGAAATGGGCTTTTGGGTTTTGGGTTTGTTTTTTTTTTTTTTTTTTTCCCCTTCCTTTTTAAGCAGATCACACTCTGCATAAAAAGGGGAGGTGCTTGTCACCGGGAAGGGTCAGAGCCCCGCCCACTGCCAAGTTAGGAGGAAGTGGGTTGGGATCCAGCAGTTCCTGGTGAACCCAGCAATCAGTCAGGTCCCAGGCCTGGAAGTCCAGCAGTGTGGACCAGGAAGCCAGCAGGCAGGCGGGGCGTTTGGGGTGGCCCCGTTCTCAAGCTGGCCGAGAGGGGATGGGCCTGTTTCATCCTGTTTGGCCACTGTAAATAGACTCTGCCCAGGCAGCTCTCGTGCCTTCTGGTTGTGACGCAGCCTGGTTTGGGCTCTTTGGTGACCCCAGGAAGCTTGAGGATCTAGGCCTCGGCCCCTCCTCCCTCTCCGCCACCCTCACCCTAAGCCAAGGCTTCTCCTCCTGTCAGGAATCCATAAACAGCAGGGATCCGGGAGACCTCAGCTGTCCCTTCAGCCTCCCCAACCCAGCTGTGACTCGCACCATCTACCATCCTATTACTACTTGGAATCCCAGCACTCTGGGAGGCTGAGACAAGCAGATCGCAAGATCTAGCAAGTTTTCCCGGGGATTGGACACAGCCTTCTTGTCCTCTGTTTTCTAAGGCCCCTTTGGGTCTGTTCTGCAGCTGCAAGGCAGGGCTGGCTTAGGTTCAGTGCTGTGCTTACAGAGCAAGTGTAACTGGGATGGGGGCTCTGGTGCCCACCCAGTTGGTGGAATTGTTAGAAGAGGGGCTGAAAAGAAGCGGTGACAGCCAGGAGAGTCTGGCAGCGAGGTGGGGCGCAGGGGAGCATGTACACTTCTTTTTTGGAGGGTTGGAGCTTTCAGGGGCCCCCTGCATGCTTTATGCCTCACTGACTGCTTGGGGACAGTGGTTCTGATGAGGTGTCCTGTGGCCAGGTGCTGGGGACTGGACGAGACAGCATGTGAAACCCTGTGATGTCCCTGGTGAGGGCCCAAGGGGGGCTGAGGGTAAGGAAAAGGCACAGTAATCATAGTGGCTCCCGTGCCGTCCCTGAGAGGGTTGGCCGCCTGTGCTAGGGCTGGGTACCAGCCTGGCCAGGTTGGTGCTCCCAAGCCTGCACCCAGCAGCAGGGTGGCAGGGGGTCCCCTTGGCCTCCCAGGACTGTATGCCAGTTACCCAGGGCCTCCTTCCTGTCCTTGGGACAGGGTGGTAAGAGAAGAAAACTTGGACAAGTCTAGGAAAACCACAGGAGGGCTGCTGCAGGGTTTGAGGAAGCCTAGAATTCCTTCATGTTGTCTTTCTCTAGGGCGGCTTCAGGAATACTCAGGGCCTTGCAGGAAGCCAGTGGCACACTGGGCTGTGACCCTCTGCCCCCAGAGGCCATCCCAAGGAGAGAGAGGCCCGAAGGCCCTGACTCTCCATCCCTCTGCCCCCCTGTGGCCTGGTTCCAGGCTCTGTGGGCCTTTCCTGTGTTGGGCAGAGGCCTCCCAGGAACTTCTCCCAGGCATTCTTGCCAGTGACCTTGAGAGGAGGCCTGCCCTGCTGCCCATCTGGACTCTCTTGAGGACTAAACACCCCAAATCCATGTGGCCAGTGCCCAGACTAAGAACTTGTTAGTTCGGGGAGAGGCAGCAGCTGCCTAGCCTTCCCTTCCAGGCAGATGGCGCCCACAGACTGCTACCATCCTGGCGAGACAGCATCACCCCTCCGTCCCCGTGGGGGTGATGGAGCAGGGCCCTGCCAGGCACTAGGTTTAGCCAGTTCTGCCCATCTTCTCCTGCTCTGCTCCTGACCCAGAGATGCCCTGGACAGGGACTGGTGAGAAGGCGTAGGGACCCTTGGGACAAAGCAGGGCTGCTGTGGAGGACATGGTTAGAAACAAGGGCCCATGGGCAGGGTCCCTGGGAGGGAGGCAGTGTATCCAGCAGACACCACTGTTGCTAGGAGGGTGCCATGCTGTGTCCTGGGCTGGAAGGACCAGGGTTGAAGGGCTCCCGAAGTTCCTGCCAGCCCCCAGGACCGGGTTTCCCAGCAGCCAGTCTGCCCCAGGGCGCGAGCAGCTAACACAGGGCTGGCTGCTGGCGGCTGGTCTCCTGTGCCAACTCTGCATCACCTCCCGCCTACAACACCCTCCTGTCTTCTACTGGGTCCCGGAGCCTGGTTTTTCCTTCAACCTTCTAATGTTTCCTCATTAGAAATAAAGCATTAAGGGCCCACCAAATAGCTCAGCAGATTAAAACACCTGCAGGGCCTGGGTTCCATCCCAGGGCCTGCTATGCCGCCCACCCCCCCCCCCACCCCCTTGCACTGAGACAGCAATTGAGACTGGGCATGGTGGCTCATGCCTGTAATCCCAGCTCTTAGGAGGCTATAAACAGGCGGGTCACTATGAGTCCAATCTAGTAGTGAGAACACCCTGTAGACCCTTCCCTAAAATACAATTTAAAAAAAATAAAGAAATGAAACACTAGGTCCCATTTGGGTGCAGGCTGGGTAGGTACAGATAGGCCCCAAAGGCACCCCTGGGAGCTATGCATGGCCAGTGGCTTCTCCTTTGGACAGCACAGGACATTTCCATCCTACTAGGAACAGTGCTGATCTGGGGCAGAGTTAGAGGAGTCCATGGCCTGCTGTCCCTACCATGGGGCAGGACCATGGTGACAAGTGCCAGTGCCAGGTGGGCAGGCCGCGGCCAATGTGGGGCATGGGTGAGCTCTGTCTACATCTTGGCAGCAGTGAGTGGAGGGGCTATGCATGGAAAGCGGGTTGCTGGACCCTGGTGCCTGGCCTGGCTGGACCACACCAGCCAGGTTGGGTCAAGGGCCTGGGGGACCCTAATAGTGTTGGGGCTAAAGGAGCTAGGGTGTGGTGTTCTGTTTCCTGAAAAGAGAGGTGGGAATGAGACCCTCTTGGCGCGTGTGGCTGATGACAGGTGGTTTTCTCTGTTCCCTCAACGGCTCCGTCCTGCAGTGGAGTCTGCCCCACACCCCCCATGCTCTTCCACCCCAGTGCTGTGGAGGCAGAAAAAAAATCCGGTGAGGTGAGCCCATCCTGCATGTTGGGGGCACAGGGACCAGAAGAAGCCATGACACCGCAAGTGCCCCCCGAGGTGGGCGTCCGTCCTGACCCTGCCACATTTAGCTCCCGCCTGCGTCCATTCACACATCCCTTCCCCTTGCAGGTGAAAGAACTCGTCCTGGACAACTGTCGGTCGAACGATGGCAAAATCGAAGGCCTCACAGATGAGTTCGAAGAACTGGAATTCTTAAGTACAATCAACATTGGCCTCACCTCAGTCGCGAACTTACCAAAGTTAAACAAACTCAAGAAGGTAAACAGCGCTGTGCACCTGCGCACTGGGCGGTGGGCCGGGTGGGTGGAAGGGGGTTGGCACTAAGGGTTGGCACCGGCTGCCGGGGGCATCATTCAGTGCCAGCCTGGGTGCAGACCTGCTGTCCGGTTCCCCGGGTCTGCGCTCCATCTTCGCTGTTAGGGAGGGCCTTCATTATCAAAGCTCTTTTTGCTTTTTTCCTCTGCCTTGTTTAGCTTGAACTAAGCGATAACAGAATCTCAGGGGGCCTGGAAGTATTGGCAGAAAAGTGTCCGAATCTTACGCATCTAAATTTAAGCGGCAACAAAATTAAAGACCTCAGCACAATAGAGCCCCTGGTAAGTCATCTGGGTCCTGCCCTCGGCCTGAGGACAGGAGGGGGGGGGCTGGTGGGGGGAATCTTACTTTTGCATTTATGTAATGCCTTTCTTTTTCATTGCTCTTAATTGCTTTGGGTCTGGTAGTGTGTTAGGAGGCAGAGTGGTTGCTTCTGTTTCCCCGCAGTCCATGGAGAAACTGAGGCCTAGAGAAGGTTAAGTAGGTGGACCGAGGTCTCACAGCCAGAAAGAGGAGCTGGTGTGGCTGATCTGAACCTCGCTTCAGCTCTACCCTGGAGCTTCTCCCTCGTAGTCTCTGCTGAACTTTGGAGGCCTGAGCCATCATTTCTTGAGCTCAGGCATTAAGCCAGCCCCCTAATGTGGTGGGTTCCTGTTTCTTCTCTGGGTTGCTGGCCAGTGCTGGTGACTGAGTGATGGGACATGGGTCAGAGGTGACCCAGAAACCCAGCAGGGCAGAGCCCTGTGGGGTGAGAGCCTTGTGTAGAGGCAGCATCCCTGGGCTGTCTGGTGGTGCCTGGGGCCCAGAGACCTGGCTGGCATTTCTGGCTCCTGTGCTTGTCCCGGCCAAGCTGGGCACACCCCAGCTTCAGCTGTTTGATAGCTAGCAAGGGGCAGGGCGTAATCAGAATGGTCATTTCTCCATTACCAAGGTCTGAATTATTATATTGCTTAGATTTTTAAGGAAAGCAACTGTTAGGATGCGTCACTGGTTCAACAACGGCTGTTTGGAAATAAATACTCCCACATTAGGTAAACTTGTCTGATGCAAATACACACAGAAGAGTCCCCTGGTAAACCAGGTGTCTTTAATTGGAGGAGGCCTGTGGACACCGCCGCAGCGGCCAGGCCTGCCTGTGCAGTGTCTGTTGGGTGGAGGCCGAGCCAGGTTTGGGGGTTCTTGAGCACAAAGCGCTCCTTGCTCCCATAGGTGCCCATGGGTCCCCCATATGGGCCATTCTCAGCACGAGAAGCCAGCTCGTGTTCACCAAGCTGAGGCCTCACCTGTTCCCCTGGGTCCCTTGGGTGAGCTACTAGAATGTGCTTCCCACAGAACATTTCTGTCCCTGGTCTTCTGCCGCTCTTCTAGAAGGCTGAACTTTTTGTGTATGCATTTTTTTTTCTTTTTTAGTACCAGGTCTCACTATGCAGATCAGACTCATAGTGATTGTCCTGTTTTCAGACTCCCAAGCACTGGGATTACAGACGCGTGTCACCATGCCCAGTCTCAATATCTGTCTCACCACCCCTAGGGGTGGGACCAGCACAGCACGCCGGGGATCGAACCCTGGTCAATCCCTACATCTGCCTAAGCAGGTGCTTTAGTCCTCTGAGCTATCTGGCTGGCCCTAGGCTGGGCTGTTTTGATCTGTGTGGAGGAGGTTCTTCCTTTCCTAATTTTACTCCAAAAAGAAAAACCTTCCTAGTGCTGGAAATGTATATACTGGGAATGGCGGAGGACCAAGCGGTGCAGGGACTGAGCAGAGAAAAATCCTTGTGAAACATTGAGCCTGAGTTTGGGTTGCTCTGGGAGATCCCCCACACTCACGCCCCTGGGATGTGACCTGACCCCATGTGAGCGGGAAGCTGCTGTCGTGGGGTGTGGAGGGCTACCCTGCAAAGACCACAGCCCACGCCCGGCCCTGCCTTGGTCTCCTCTGGCCCTGCACCTCCACATCTCAGCGCTGGAGAGCCCATTTGGTCCTGCAGGATGGTGCAGGGGCTTGGACAGGATGTTTTGTACCTGAGACCCTGCAGCTGGCTGAGGTGGGAGGTCGGGGTGCAGCCCCCACACACACTAGAGGGAGACCGCTCCCATCCTGGGTGTCAGTGTCCTCGATCACCCATCAGGGACAGCTCAGGCTAGGCCAGACGTGGTCCAGTGAGGTAGCAGAGACAGAATCTGGGTCCCCCATTGGCTGTTCTCTGTCGTCTGTGACAAGTGTATTTCATCCAGTCAGATCACAGATCCTTTTCCTCATCTGGAAAATGCACTGATGGTTATTCCTGCTGCCTCCCAGGAGTTGAAGGATAAATTGATTTAATACATGCAGCTCTGTGTTAATTGTCACAGTGGTCGTTACTAGGCACAGGAGTGAGTTTGTGTCACCTGTTCAGCTCCTGGGCACTCAGGTCACAGCAGAGCTTTGGGCTCCAGTCTGGGGAGGCCCCAGCCTCTTCTCCCGCCTGTAGCTACCACCTGTCCTCACTCTTTACTTTCTGGTCTCTACCTGCAGAAGAAGTTAGAAAACCTCAAGAGCTTAGACCTTTTCAACTGCGAGGTGACCAACCTGAATGACTACCGAGAAAATGTGTTCAAGCTCCTCCCGCAGCTCAAGTACCTCGACGGCTACGACCGGGACGACAAGGAGGCCCCTGACTCGGACGCCGAGGGCTACGTGGAGGGCCTGGATGATGACGAGGAGGATGAGGATGGTGAGTGGCGGGGGCTGCCCCTGGGCTCTGCAGAGGGCAGGCTGCAAGTGGGGACCCTCTGCTGTGGCTCCCCCATTCCCCGAATTGATTTCTTTGGGGTTGCCCCCTGGTAAGACTGTGCGTGGCCCCAAAGAAATGTCAGGAGGTACTCGAGTTGCATAGAACCCCTTGAAAACTACCTGTCCTCACTTTGATTTTTGTTCCTTTTCCAGTGCTCCATAGGGAGTGATATTCTGCTGTATTGCTCTAGAGTGGAGCTCAGACTTAGACACTTTCCCAGGGAGTCTTAGGGGACTGTGGAAGGCAGGGTGTGGCCTGGGCACCCTCTTTGCCCATCTGGTGTGCAGTAGTGGATACCAGGTCATCAGCTGGAGGGGCTTTGGGGCCCCCTGGTGGCTGCAGCCCACAGTCTCAGTACCCCAGCCTTTGGGCCTCGGTGAGGAGAGGGGTACACCCCTGGTGTCCCTTGCTCCTAGCACACATAACCTGTCTGCAGAGGAGTGCTGAGATTCAGGGCCCTGTCCGATCCATTCAGGCACAAGCTTTTGTTTTTCCTTGTTCGACTGGAGTATTTTATAAGGCATTCAGCTATAGTGCAGGCTTTGGTGGAGCTTTTTGTCATGGCAGATGACAGCCACCACCTTTCTGGGGTACGTTGTGATACTGGAGGACTTTGGATACAGCAGAAAGGCCTGGGGTCCCAAGGCAGGTTTCCAGACCCTGCATGTCTGCTCCCACTGACTCCTTGTGTCCCCATCAGTCCACATCCCTCGGTCCAGGCCTTAAAGTGGGGCCCCTGGGCTGCGCGCTCTTCCTGGGTAAGGTGACACTTAGCTTCCAGGCATCGCAGTTGTGGCCCCACTGTGGAAGGACAGAGCTTGCTGGGCAGGTCTCCTGGGGCCATGCGAGGGGATGGGGGCCGCTTTTGTGACTTACAGCTCTCAGACCTCAGGCACAGGAGGCGTGGAGGTCGCAGGCCTCACCACCCGGGCCTGTGCTAGTGGGGCCCCGCTCACCATGCTTGCATTCTTTTCCCCATGGTGGCTACACAGAGGAGGAATACGACGAGGATGCTCAGGTAGTGGAAGATGAGGAAGATGAAGATGAGGAGGAGGAAGGGGAAGAGGAGGACGTGAGCGGAGAGGAGGAGGTAAGGACTAAGGACGTAGCTACAGTGAGGTTTGGGGCTCCCTGAGTTCCCATGGAGCCCCTTTGCTGGCAGGATGGCCTGGTACTCTGTGGGACAGGACTACCAATAATCCTGGGGAAGTTGGGTTAGAAGGGGGACACGGATTCCTGAGGGGACTCACCTGCCTGGCCCAGCTTCCCTGGGGATTCAAGCTCTTCCAGAGGCCCCAAGTCTCAATGCCCAGCTTTGCTGACTTGCATTTATGTGTAATTAAGACACTGAGCTCTTAAACCTTGTGCCAGGCAAAATCAGAGACAGCTCAGAAGAGCTAAGTGGTAGGTAAGGAACTAAAAGGACGGAGTTAGCTGCACACAGGAAGTAGTGCATCAGGCCTGGCCCAGTACCCTGAGGACAGAACATTTCCCAGCAGGTGTGAAGTGTCTTGAGTTCCCAGCTGTACCACCCGTTTGCTGGCGACCCTGGACAAGTTATTTGACCTTTCTGAGCCTGGTGTTCATGTATAAAATACCTTTCCAGATAACTTTCTTCATTTTTTTGTGCAAAAAATGAAGTAAAGTGACATGCTGGGGAGAGCATTAGACCCCTTGGTGTGGGTGTGCACACCCCCATTCCACATGCCTGCACCATGTACTAGCTGTGATGTTTGGACAGTCCCAGTCTCTCCACTGCAGAGCCATCTTGTGTGACATGTTTAGGTCCTTACATCCACTGTTCTTATTTTGGTTTTTTGGAGGCAAGGTCTCACTGTGTAGTTCAGGCTGGCCTTGAACTCTCCTCAAACTCAGCAATCCTCCTGCCTCCGCCTCTTGAGTGCTAGGATTACAGGCCATGTGCCACCACACCTGGCTCTCTCTGTCTACTCCTAGTGCTAGGAGAAGGTTGACCGGGAGACATCTAAGGGCACAGCAACAGGACATTGCCCCACGTCTCCAGTCTCTTGCCTCCACCTTGAGAATGTAGGGACATCTTGGGGTCTCAGCGCTAGGCTGCCTCAGATGGGAAGGCAGTGGGGGCTATGGAGAGGCCTCTGGTGCAAGCTGGGCTCCCATCTACTGCTATAGTGTCCCTTTTCTCTCTATCCAGGCCACTGGCTCACTCTGTCAAATACCGTGAGCTTTGTAAAAATAAAAACTTAAGAGAAGGGCTGGCCAGATAGTGCAGAGGACTAAAGCGCCTGCTTGGGCAGTCGCAGGGACCAGGGTTTGATCCCCGGCATGCCACGCTGGTTCCACCCGCGGAGCGCAGTGAGACTGGGTGTGGTGCCTGTGCTTGTCATCCCAGCACTTGGGAGGCTGAAAACAGGAGAATCACTAGAGTCTGATCTGCGTGGTGAGACCCTGTAGACCCCGTACTAAATACATTATATATAAATAAATAAATAAATAAACTTAAGAGAAGTGGGCTCCCCCAGGTGAGGGCAGTAAGCTGTGCTAGTGACGGAGCGTGTGTCTGCCCTTCCTGCCTCAAGAGCCCAGCCCTTGGGTTTCATTTTGTGTTGTGTAATCTCCTTCACCATCTGCATATTTCCAGCTTCTGGTGGAGGGCTGCATAGACACACACAACAGCCTTAGCAGACAGATGGAGGACGCTGCTCTGTGACATCAACGATGTCTCCCATGGCATAAAGGCGCCCCGCCCCAGTTCTGTTTGTTAGAGAAGTTTTTATATTGAGACGGGGTCTCGCTGTGCAGTTCAGGCAGGCCTTGAACTGTGTAGTCGGGGCCATTCTTGAACTCATGATGATCCTCCTGCCTCAGCCTCCAAGTGCTGGGATTATAGGTGTGCGCCACCACACTCAGCAAATCCCTGGTTGTCTTAAAACTTCCAGGTAGGGTCTGGGGAGATAGCTCAGTAGAATAAGCTAGAATAAGCGCTTGTCTGGCAAGCGCAAGGGCCTGAGTTCAATCCCTGGTTTCGAAAAATAAAACAAACTTGCAGAAAGCACAGGTGGAGAGGATGAAGTCAGGGTGTGGGGGATTCTCCCCTCGAATCTTCTGAGGCAGGAAAGGGCAGAAGGGTAGAGTTGAACTGGGGCTCGCTGTCCTCAGAGCATGCAAACTGCAGGCCACCTGACCCCTGGGGACAGGAATACTAGCCTCTGGGTACCCACAGCCCACCCCCTACAGTCATTTCCATATGTCCTATGTGATATGAGTGTGGTTTTTTTGGGGGGGGCGTGGTACCAGGGATTGAACTCAGGACCTTGTGCTTGCCAGGCAAGCCGTTATTCCACTGAGCTATCTCCCCACCCCCACAGGTGGTGTCTAGGGAAGGAGATCAGCACTTTCTGCAGATTCCCAAATGGCTCCGTGATCCAAACAGATGAGAAACTTCTACACTGTGTGCATCCTGAGCAGCAGGCCTTAGGTGGGGCTCTGAGGGGCCAGAAGTGACACAGCCCTGGAGCAGCAGCGTTCCTAACCTTGTGTCTGTCTTTTCTCCTAGGAGGATGAAGAAGGTTACAACGATGGGGAAGTCGATGATGAGGAAGATGAAGAAGAGGCTGGTGGTATGGCAGCCTTTTTGTTTTCTGTGGGTAGTGGCCTGGCCCCTTAGTTTGGAGTTAGCCAGCTTGGCTCCAAGGCCTCTGGCAATGGGCAGATGCCCATCTGAGGCCCCAGGTCTCACTGTGTGCCTCGATTTTCAGTATGGTGGAGCTTCCTTTTCCGTGGCCTCTGGTGAGTGGCAGGTGGTGTGAATCGGGTGTGGTCTAATTGCCCTTCTTTTCCTTTTTCCTGCAGAGGAAGAACAGGGTCAGAAG